AACAAATGAACAAAGGGGAAAAAAGGGAGAGGGAGACAAACCAAAAAACAGATTCTGAACTATACTATAGAGAACAAACTGGTGGTTGCCAGAGGGGGTGGGGGATGGGTGGAATAGGTGAGGGGGGTTAAGAGTATACTTATCGTGAAGAGCACTGAGTAATATACGGAATTGTTGAATCACTATATTGTACACCTGAAGTGAATATAACACTGTAGGTTAACTGCACTGGAATTTAAAAACCAAAACAAAAAACATGACCACCAATTGACTTGAGAGCAAGACTGACCAGGCACTCAGGGGCTCCTCACCCCCTTTCCTGTACTAGGAAATAGTTCTGCTTGCCTCTCCTGCTCCCAGACGCTGGTCCAAGGACATGGACTTGAGATAATGATGTGGTTTGAAAACACCTGCATGGTATACATGACTGAAACCAGTTAAGGCCTCTTTATAAACTTCCAAGATTTGGATGGTGGGTGCTAGAATCCACCCCTCTTCCTGCCGCCCAGCACAAGCCTCTTATGTAAGTTCCCTTTGCTTATTAAAACTGCTGCTTACCAGCCTGGAGGGGCCTTTCTCTTTGGTCTCTCCCTGCCCTCTGCATATGGGAGTCAGTTTCAAATTTCATCTAGGAAGTTCCCTGGAGGGTGATGAACCAACAACTATATAGTGTCTTTGTCACAGTCTTAGAGTTAGATGAAAGAGACTATTCACTACTAGGACCAGTGCAGGAAACATCTTTAATACTCCCCTGTTCTTAATTTGTGAATCACATTGAAATAGTCAGTGCTTCAGAGTACCCTGTAGAATTGGGCATTGCTGTATGATTTGCTTTGGCCAAGGAAATATGCCTATTCAAAGAAATAATGGTTCTTCGAGGGCCTGTATATTGCATATAATGGTCAGCAGAATGGTGTCCCATAATTCCCTTAAGCTATCTTCACTCTTTTTCAATCTTTTTTCTTTTTATTCCTCTCGTTGGAGGAATTCTACTGCCCTGTCTTGGAGCTCATGGACCTTTCTTCACTCTGAAATTCTGCCATTCGCAACAACATGGATGGACCTTGAGGGCATTATGCCAGGTAAAATAGAGAGAGACAATATTGCATGCTATCACTTATATGGGGACTCTAAAAACAGAAATCAAACTTATAGAAACAGAGAGTAGAAAAGTGGTTGCCATGGGGAAAATAGGGAGATTGGTAAAAGGTACAAACTTTCAGCTATAAGATAAACAAGATCTGAGGATCTAATGCATAACTTAGTGACTATTTTTGATAACACTGTATTGTATAATTGCAATTTGCTAAGAAAGTAGAACTTCAGTGTTTTTGCCATATATATATACATATATATATATGTAAATATGTGAGGTAATGTGTGTGTTAATTAACTCAATGAGGGGAATCTGTTCACATACATACATCAAATCATTATGTTGTACACTTTAAATATCTTACAATTTTGTCTGTCGTTATACCTCAATAAAAAGAAAAAAATTAGATCATGTCAGTGGAAGTAAGGGTAAAAGGGAGAAGACATGCTCAAAAAATATTTTGGAGGTGAAATCAAAAGATTTGGTAAACAATAAATGGTGTGGGTAAAACAAAGAGAGGAATTAAAATGATGCTGATTTGTAGCTTTTGCTAAATGGTGATGTAGTTAATGCTAACATAGTAAGGAAGGTTTATAGGAGAAAAAAAAAGAGGTTTTGGTTTGAGATCCAAAGTTTTTGAGACATCCAAGTGAAATTACAGCTGACAATTGGAAATGCAGGTCTGGAGTAATGGAAAGAATTATGTATTGGAAAAACAGATTTAAAAATTTTAAATCTAGTCAATCCTCTATTCACATTTCCATATTTGCAAATTCACCTACTTGATAAAATTTATTTGTACCCCAAATCAATACACATGGAACTTTTGTGGTCATTGGCAGGCATGCACACAGAAGCAAAATATTTGAATTGCCCAATGAGCATGTTCCCAACTGAGGACAAACAAGGCAATGCTCTGCCTTCTTGTTTCAGCTTTTACACTGTAAACAAATGTTTTTTGCATGGTCTATTTAGTGCCCTTTTTTTGCATTTTTGTGCATTTTGTTGGTGATTTTGCTGTTGAAAAGGGCCCCAAGTGAAATGCAGAACTGCTATTCCTAAGTCCAAGTTCTTAAGTACAACAAGACTGTAATTTGCCTTATGGAGGAAATACATGAGTTAGATGAGCTTCATTCAGGCATGAGTTATGGTGCTATTGGCTGTGAGTTCAGTGTTAAAGAATCGACTATATATTAAAGAAGGTATCTTTTAACAGTAACAGAAAACAAGGTTATGTATCAATTGTTGATGAAAGTGTAATCAGAAGCTAACCCTAACCTTGAGTTTCTTCTAGGAGCCATGGTTCAGTATTCACTAATTCCATGTTCTTGACAACATTATGGAACATAACTACTGCAAATAATGAGGATTTTCTGTGTATAATCATAGATATGAGACTGTGACATTGAATAGTGAAAGCAGAGACATCAAGAAAGTAAGAAGTCTCAAGATAGAACTCTAGGGAATGTCAGTATTTAGACGGTGGGCAGAAGGTAGAATGTTAGGGGAAGCACAAAAGGAATGGCGAGGTAGGTAATCAGAGAGTGCCAAGAAGTACCTTGAGGAAATTTCAGTAAGAGAACAATCCCCAATGTCAAGAGGTGCAAAAAAAGCTCCCAGGAGAGAGATGTTATAGAGGAAAAGCATATACGTTTAAATCTAATGGACCTGAATTTAATAAAACTTAGTTCTGCTACCTACTAGCTGGGTGATATAAAGAAATTCTTATTTCTCTGGTCCTTAATTAATTCTGTAGAATGAAGACAAATCCTAACAGAAGGTCATTGTAGATTACATAAAATAATGAGCAACTATAAATGTTCCACGTTTTGTAAACTTTAAAAAGTCAAGATTAAATGTTTTATTTATTTATTTTTTTAAAGATTTTATTTATTTATTTGACAGAGAGAGAGATAGCGAGAGCAGGAACACAAGCAGGGCAAGTAGGAGAGAGAGAAGCAGGCCTCCCGCTGAGCAGGGAGCCCAACGTGGGGCTCGATCCCAGGACCCCGGGATCATGACCCAAGCCGAAGGCAGACGCTTAACGACAGAGCCACCCAGGCGCCCCTCAGTATTAAATGTTTTAAAGGGTTGTATACTACAGTGACTTTGGATCTTGGCCTCAGTTATGTTCCAGCATAAGTAAAATCACACAAGTGTATGTTTCATTTAGGTTGGGAAGTTGAGGTTGGATATACAGTTTATTTGTCCAAGATGGAGAGGCCCACATTTTATTCTGTCTCTCTTATCCATTCATGATGATCTCTGTTGATATATCTTGTTATTTCTTGATTTTCCATGAATGGAAAATGGCCTTTGGAGATAGTCAAACCTCAGTCTGAGTTATGGATCCCTACCTCCTTCCTTCATTCACTCACTCATTTATACACTTTTTAAAGATACCTATTGGGCGCGTGGGTGGTTCAGTCGGTTTAGCGTCTGCCTTCGGCTCAGGTCATGATCCAGGGTCCTGGGATCGAGTCCCACATCAGGCTCCCTTCTCAGTGGGGAGTCTGCTCCTCTACCCCTCCCCCCCGCCCATGCGCACTCACTCTCTCTCTCGCCAGTAAGTATATAAAATCTTTTTAAAAATTAAAAAAATAAAAGATACATAATATGTTCCAAGTTCTATATTAAGGCACTAGAGATAAAGAGGCCTGTAGCCTCCATGATCTTATAGTCTAATGGAAAGAAAAACTAAGTATAACAAGGTATAAAATTAAGTTTCCGGTTTAAGCACTCCAAGAAACAATACATACTATACGTGGAAGCAAGTATGAGACAGAAGCTCCTGGATTTTATATCCTATAGAATAAATGCCATGATTCTTGAACCCCCTCGACCACTTTGAGAATATAAAATAGAGGATGGAGGGGCAGTGAGGTATTTATAATCATATGCCTTTGGAGAAGAATGGGAAGAAATATTATAGTTTTCATCACAAGCTAAAAGAGAGGGAACTTCTAAGGGACCATGTGAGTGTCAGTTGTTATTCTGTTCACGTTAACAAGATAGGAGTGAAACAACACAAACATATGGAGTAACTCGATGACACGACATGAGGCACCAACTGAATACTCGTCACACCCCACATCCCACTCATAACTTTGAATGCAAAGCTCTCTTGCAAATTGCATTACCTGTTTATATCTCTCTTTCCCCCACTTTTTATAATGTTTTATAATGACCAGGACTACTACTTTCTACCTTTGCATCCCCGGGGCATAAAAGTGCCTGGAATAAGACAGGAGTTTAACAAATCTCAGATGAATGGAGAGGGTTTAGTAGCCTCCAGCTCTGAGTGCAAAGAGCTGTAGCGGTGTTTTTCATCCTCAACACCAATTCACGCATTGGGGGCGACGTACCACCCAGTCTTTGGTAGGGAAGATGAGAGAATTTGCCCAAGACGAATAAAGTAAGGTTGCCGTTCTTATTAGACAATGCATCCGGAGGATGTTTTCACTGTTGAGTTAAAAGAACCTGAAAGTCGGGCGCCTGGGTGGCTCAGTTGGTTAAGCGACTGCCTTCGGCTCAGGTCATGATCCTGGAGTCCCGGGATCGAGTCCCGCATCGGGCTCCCTGCTCGGCGGGGAGCCTGCTTCTCCCTCTGACCCTCCCCCCTCTCATGTGCTCTCTGTCTCTCTCATTCTGTCTCAAATAAATAAATAAATAAAATCTTTAAAAAAAAAGAACCTGAAAGTCTATGCTGCCCTCTAGAGCGGCCTACAGTGCCTTCAGGCGTGCTGCAGAGAGAACACAAGGCTTACGTAGACGCGTCCCTGCGGAGAAATCCTTTGTGCCAGTTTCCTTTAAGTAAAAGAAGGATACAGAACTGGAAGGCTGGCGCCGGAAGACTGGGACGCGCGCCCGGTGCAGGGAGGAGGTGGGAGCGCGTAGGCACCGCCCCTCCCGCGGTTGCCAGGCAACCGGGCCCAGACGGCGCGGAAGGCGCCTCGGCGCAGGCGCTGGCGGGCCGGTGAAGATGGCGGAAGGCGGCGGCGCCGAACCGGGGGAGCAGGAGAGGTCCTCTGGGCCGCGGCCCCCGAGCGCGCGGGATCTGCAGGTGCGGCGAGCGGCCGAGGGCGGGGCGCGGCGGCGGGGCGCGGCGGCGGGGTGCGTGTCGGAGTCCGCCCCTGGCCTCGGCTGAGCCCTTGCCAGACCCCACCTGGGGACTGAATTGTGACTCCGGGGTCGCAGGTCTGCTCAGGGCGGTGCATCGAACAGTGGTTTTCGAGGAGACAAGTGTCCGAGCCCAACTCTCTGTTGCCCGGGACTCATTCCCCCTCCACCCGATTTGCAATTTAAGAAGCAGCTGTTTAGAATGGCATTGTGTGGGGTCAGTTGAGTGGTTCACGGGTTGGTGCTTCCTTCAGAAGACTTAATTGCAGAAGAAGGCTTTACTGTGCCCGTGGGAAATCAGGATCCCTTTAGAAGTAGTAACATGTGTGCTGGTTTGATCTTTCTCGGATGCTGTTTCTGTTTGGATTACTTTTATATAAAAATGCTTCCTTTTTATCAGATAGCTTTTCCCTTTTAAAAGTGAGCTAAAGTATTCCATCCTACGGCTGCACCGCCTAGTTGTCAAAGCTACCGTCTATGAAACACTGCACAGAAGAAAGAGCGAAATAAAACTTCATGGTGACATTAGAGAGCTAAATACGAATGTAGCAAATTTCGCTTCTTCAGGTGCTTAATACTGCTTTGCTCATTTAGGCGGGTTTTTTTTTTTTTTTCTGTCTCTTAAGACCATTGATAAAATCAACAAGTAAACAATCATAAGGAGTTGTGTAATTAAAAGTAAATGACGCCGAGTCTACATGCCTCGATAGAAAAGTTCTGTTACAGTTACTTCTACTTTGAACAAGCATTGACCACCTGCCATGCAACATACTGCTAAACTCCACCAATGCAGAGATGAATAGGACATCAAATCTGTAGTTGGTGCTGGACCCTGTTGAAGGGAATAGAAGTGTAAAAAGCATGTCCATCTATTTTTTGCAGAAATAATATATGAATATATTGGCCATGACATTTTAAGGTGGAGTACGACTGAATGCCAAATTAAGCAGTACATAAAATGAAGAATTTGGAGAATGGAGAACTCAGTGTCAGAAGATGAACCGAATGTAGAATAATTCCAGTGCTCTTAAGTCAATTCAAGTAGTAGTAAAGTCAATTAAGTAGTAAACAGGATCAAGGAATAGGATCTGCCTCATCTTTTCTATGGTAGACTACCATCACTAAGAGGCACTAAGAGGCAACATGGGACGTTGAGAAAATAGTTTCTGGTTAGATCAATTTCTGTTTGCATCTTGGACCTGTCACTTAGTAGGCCTCTGAATGTAAGAGAAATGTCTTAACCTTTCTGATCCTCAGTGTCTTTATTTGTAAACTAGGGGTGATGTTGGTGTCAAGGATGAAATGTCCATAAAGTGCCCATGCACTCCCATATTATCCTGGCCCTGTACTTGCTTGGTAAATATTTGGTTCCTTTTTCTTTAAAGGAGGAAAATGCTGTAACTTTAACTGGTTAGTCCATTCTAATGCCATTAAAGTTAAAACTATATAACTTAATATCCTTTCTCTAATTTCATTCTGTTCTTTTCATGTGAAAAATGAGAGCAGCTTGGCTAATGATTGCCTAATACTTGGCAAATTTACAGACTTTTAATCCAGCAGATTAATATATGATTAATGGTTGGTGATATTTTGGTAGATGTCACTAATTGAGAGAATGCCTTCCTCTTCACCATCAATTAGAGGATAGGGATTTGTTTTTAAGACATTTTTTTAAATTTATTTATTTGACAGCTAGAGAGAGCAGAAGCAGGTTGAGTGGGAGAGGGAGAAGAAAGCTCCTCGCTGAGCAGAGAGCCTGATGTGGGGCTCCATCCCAGGACCCTGGGATCATGACTTGAGCCGAAGGCAGACACTTAACTGACTGAGCCACCCAGGTGCCCTGGGGATTTTTTTTTTTTTTTATTATCTACTTTCTGGTAGTCAGGTTGGTAGGTAGATAACTATTTTTTTTATAAATGTGATTTGGATATCAAATACATTAAGTATTGATAGTGTTTCCTTTAGAATTTAATAAGAATCTGAAGAACTTGCTAAGAAACCTAAAAACAACCAAAGTGATGATGTACGAAGAAATAGAGTATGTTTAAAAGAAATAGAGTAGGTTTAAAAGAAGTGAATAATGTTCTTCTCCCCAACTAGTTTTTTGAATAGTGATTACTATTTTATTATCTTGTTATTGTTTAATCAAGCTGTGCTTATCTTAAGGGTAATTTTCAGTAAATACTTCCTACCTTCTGGACAGCTTGCTCTAAGAGTCAGTCATTCACAGTGTTATAGAGGAAAAGGGAGATATTACTAATTGGAACAAGCAAAAGATACCCTAAGTATGCATATCTTAGCTGCCAGGCAGTGTAGGGTTTGTTGGCATCTAAATCAGGAAAGATTTCCTCATTTAGCACAGGAGGAAACATGGATGGTTGTCTCCCAGAAAGCCTCCCAGCACTGTGAGCCTCTGACATAAACCGCAGAAATCTCCTGTGGATATCAAACCAAGAGCAGATCTTAGCTACCTTCATTCCCCCCAAATTGAGAAACATTCAATGGGAAGGTTTAGGATGGGATTGTTAGTGACAGCCCTCGCCCTCAAAACCTCAGTGTTTATTAGTATTTCTGAACATTTTCTGAGACCTCTCTCTCTCCTGGTTCCCTTCAGTCTATTAACATGGGTTTAATAGTTGGTTAACATATTTAATTGTATGCTTCTGTCCCAGTTTTCCTCCAGAATAATATCAAAAGAAAAAGATTTCTGTTCTTAATTCTGTATTTCCATATAGATTGGAGTTAGAGGGTAATTAGAGATAACTTCAGTATTTATTAGGGTTAGGATGGGGTGGGGTAGACAGTGGAGTTCTAGAAGTGAGAAAAGAGTAAGAATGTCTGATACTGTGTTACAGTTGCCACAAGTACCCTAATCCTGTTGGATATCAGTATTCCATAGTATTTGTTCTCAATTTTAGCATGCATGAGAATCATCTGGAAGGCTTGATACAGCACAGATTGCAGGGCCCCACCCCAGAGTTTTTCATTCATTAGGTCTAGGGTGGGGCTGGAGCATCTGTATTTTCAAAGGTTCCCAGGTGATGCTGATATTGCTATTCTATATTTTAAAAAGTCAGTATGTTACCTTCTGTCAATTGTCACTCTAAGACTGAGAATTGCAGTAATTTTAATCTTTTGCTTTATACCTGATTTTCTCGTTCTCAATTACTTTGCTCTCAGGTTTCTTTTCACGTTCTTCACATTTCAAACTCTAAAGCAAAGATTATCACTGCTTACGTACTTTATTCCTTCTGTGTAATTGAAATAACTTCATAATCTAATTGTTTAGCCTGTGGAACACTCTGTCCTGTTAATTCACAATGATTCATTACTTCACAATGCACATATTCTTATCTCTTTATTTGATATTTAGTTGTTGTTCTATTTGTTTTGACCAGTACTTTATTTTGATCAGTTTAAATAATCATTTCCTCTTCTAGTGTGGTGTCATTTGCTATGTCAACTAACATAAATTAAATTTCTTTATAATATTTACTAATGAACTTATACCATATGATGCTGCAGGGAGATCATGAATCCCAGCAATAATTCCCTCTAAATATCATTCATTTTCCTTTTAGTAATGCACCATTAATAACTAAGACCTTTCAGCTAGGTGGACTCCCTGCTCTAATACAATTTACCCCATATTCCTATCTTGTTAATATATATATTCCACAGAATCAAAACACATTATTTGCTTTATTCATTTATTTCATAGAAGAAAATTAGTTGATTGACAGGGTTTGTTCAAATCTTCTTGAACAAAAAACAAGATAAAAAACTATATAGAAAATGTAATCTGAGTTTTAAAATATATAACTTGGGGCACGTAGATGGCTCAGTTGGTTAAGCCTCTGCCTTCAGCTCAGGTCATGATCCTGGAGTCCTGGGATCAAGCCCCACATTGATCCAGCTCTCTTCTCAGCTGAGACTCCGCTTCTCCCTCTGCCTCTCCCTCTGCTCGTGCTCTCTCTCTCACTCTCTCTCAAATAAATAAATTTTTAAAAATCTACAACTTTATATTTATTAACTACATAATTCAACATGAATTTGTTTCGTGTCCATGAAGTACTATATTAGAAACAATCTAGGAAACCTAAATTATAGTAGGAGGGATAAAATCGTGAGGAAGGTACACAAGTGATGACAATGTAATGTTTATAAATGTTAATAATAGAATAGCATATACAATGAGGAGTTAGGAAAGAAATATCATTTAGTTAAGAAAACTAGAAAAGGCTTTGTGAAGGATGGCTGAAGTGGGCCTTTGCAATATAGGTAACATTTCCATTGATGGGATTAGAAATCACATAAAAGTAATTCATAGAGCTGAAATAAATCAGCTCAGGAGGAACTTCCATAAAGGAATACTGTTTTGAAGAGAATTCAGGGAGGTAAAATTTCTGAAAACTTTGGACCCAAGTAGTCAGGCAGAGTGTCTATATCCGTCTCTCTCGTTTGTTTTGTTTTCATTTTCATTTCACATACAGTCATATGTGTAGATAACACTGAATAAGGAAATCTTGGGGAAAATGAAACACTGATAATAGTCATTGTTAAACATTTTTTAATATCTTCTAGTAATGGAGCACTTGCCTTGTGCTTCACATCCCATTCTGTGATCCTTAAAATGACCCTCTAAGGTAATTTTTTAAAATAGACATTTAAAGATGAGGGAACCAAGGCGCAGAGAAGTTAAATAAAATGCCCAAGGTCACACCATAGGAGCCCAAGTTAGGATTTTAATTCAGTTCCTTTAGATTACAAAGCACTTTCATAATTAGGATTTCTAACAAAATCACCATGTTAGAAATATGAAAGTTGATGTAGGTGTATGGGGATGGGGTAAGGAGTAAAAATTAGGGAGGAAAATAAATCCTTTTTTTGTTTGTTTTTTGTGTGGGTATTTTAAAAGTTGACTAATAGAATCTTCAAAGAAGTAACTTTGCCCCAGTTCTTCTTTTCCTTCTGATGAAAGAAGCCCTGGAGGTAGTTTACATATCTCTTGTTTTTCTGGAAGGAGCACCTTATCTGGTTTTTTAGGGGGATTTGGTTTTTTGTTATTTTTTTTCCAAAGGATTTTCGGGGATTATGATCATGCCAATTACGGGAGCATTAAGGGAAGTTTTTGAACTGTTGTCCAAAATGGAACAAAATAACAATGCTGAAGTATTTGGATAACTTTTTAAAATTCCAATTTCAAAAACTGTGTTGTGTTTATTTCATTTAAAAGTACCCAGCCATATATTTATAATGCATAATTTGGTAATATTACTTTCTAAAATTTACATAATCCATATATATAATACATTGTCTTATATTTTTAAAAGTTCATTTTCCTTAACTTGATGAAATTTATGTCAGGTAGACTTTTAAAGAGAATAATTTTGAAATTATTGTATGTGCTTGGGTTTTAAAAAGTTAAACAGCTAAATGAAAAAATTTTATGAGATTTAATGAGAGCAGGCTGACATTAATGTGAAACATCTTCAAGTATTTTTTTTTTAACTATAAGACAATTGTAGGCTCAGCTTTGAAAATGATCTGTTACCAAATACAGTTTTTTAAACAGTTGAATGGTTAATTGAAAATAGGTAAGCAGTTATGGGCACCTGGGTGGCTCAGTCGTTAAGCATCTGCCTTCGGCTCAGGTCATGATCCCAGGGTCCTGGGATCGAGTCCCACACTGGGCTCCCTGCTCGGCAGGAAGCCTGCTTCTCGCTCTCCCACTCCCCCTGCTTGTGTTGCTACTCTCGCTGTCTCTCTCTCTGTCAAATAAATAAATAAAATCTTAAAAAAAAAAATAAGTAAGCAGTTATGGTAACTTTAATGTATTCCAGTATATGTGGCATTTTGGTTAGTTTTATCAAGTGAGGGATACATTGGTTTTATTTTGGAAGGGGGTCATCTGAAACAGCAGCCTTTATTTTTCATTAGAAATTTGTACTACACAATCACGTGTTCTAGTCATAATTTCTACTTGTGTAGAATAGTTCAGTCCTATTTATACTTTATAACAAATCTGTTGTTTTATAGTTGGCCTTGGCAGAATTATATGAAGATGAAGTGAAATGCAAATCTTCCAAATCTGATAGACCTAAAGCTACAGTCTTTAAAAGCCCACGAACACCACCTCAAAGGTAAGTTTTGTTTTTGTCTTGTTTGAGTTTTAAACATTGATTTCTTTTTAGTTCACTAATCCTAAATTATTTTAAATGGTCTTGGGAATTTTCTTTAAAACTATGATTTCTAAAATAAATATTATTTAGGTAGTGTTCCTAAAATGGTAATAGTCAGAAAGCTAAAAGAAGCGGAAAAATTGGGATGCCTGGGTGGCTTAGTCAGTTAAGCATCTGACTTTGGCTCAGGGTCCTGGGATCAAGTCCCGCATTGGGCTCCTTGCTCAGCAGGGAGCCTGCTTCTCCCTCTGCCCTGCTGATCCCCCTGCTTGTGCTCACTCTCTCTGACAAATAAATAAAATCTCTAAAAAAGAAAGAAAGAAACGGAACAGTTATCTTAAATACCTAATACGTTGGTAGACATCGTAAAGAAATATACACTGAATAGTATTTTTCTTAGACACAGTGGTTCTTTTTGAGTCATAGGATGCACTGAGGATCTGACAAAAGCTACAGCCCCTCTCCCCGCAAAACAGCATTTATACACAATTTTGCCAGTTGTTTTTAAGGACTTGTGTTTCTGAAAACCCACTCATGGAGCTCCTATGTGCCTTTTGCCCTCCATTTAAGAATCTAGAACCTGGGGCACCTGGGTGACTCAGTCGATCCTGGGATCAAGCCCTGCATTCGGCTCCCTTCTTGGTGGGGAGCCTGCTTCTCCCTCTTCCTCTGCCTACTGCTCTGCCTATTTGTGCGCTTGCACTCTCTCTCTCTCTGTCAAATAAATAAATAAAATCTTAAAAAAAGAATCTAGGACTTCAGGAACTTGTCTATGTTTTCACTGAATGATGACCCATCTAATAAGTGATCTCCTATATAGTATTTGCTGTTGTTAAAATCCCTGAACTAGAAAGGGAGCCAGCCATGAAGATTTAAGAGATGAGAGCCAGGTATACTTTATTACCATGGATTTTCTTGTTTTTAGGAATATTTTCATTAGTGTCTTTTTAATACTGCAAATCTCCTTACTGGGGAGAAACTTGGAATTTTTCCAATACATCTTATTCACAGAAAGTCTGTCATTTTACCAGAAGTTTAAAAATTCACTGGAAATTATTCTTTCTTTTTTGTCTGTCACTTTCCACTTCCTTTTTTTCTGTAGGGGAGATAAAAATGACGTACCTTTTTGGACCTGAATGAGAAGAAAGAATATTAATTTTTTCCCAAACTTTTTATTTTATTTTCAAACCCATAGGTAATCAAAAGATTAGTACAATGAATATATGCTGTATATGCTTCACCTGTATTCACCAGTTGTTAGCATATTACAGCTTTACATTGATGCAAGTGCTCTTTTACTCAACTATTTGAAAGCAAATTGCAGTCATCATAACACTCCATCCCTAAATATTTCAGCATGCATCTCCTAAGAAGCACATACCCTTTATAACCCTGATAACATATCACACCTTAGAAAATGAACAGTAATTTCATAAAATCATTTAATATATAGTCCATAGTCAGATATGTCTTCGAGCCTTTTTCAGATTTAGGATGTAACCAAGGGCCATGCATTCCACCTGATTATGCCTGTTTTGAATCTCAATCCAAAGCATTCTTCCCACCTTTTTGTTGTTTGTTCTTAGCTTATTATATAATCTAAAATTTATTAAATTGAGAGGTACCTGGGTGGCTCAGTTGGTTGAGCCACAGACTCTTGGTTTCAATTCAAGTCACGATATCAGGGTTGTGGGATTGAGCCCCACGATGGGGTCTGGGTAAGTACAGAACCTGCTTGAAATTCTCTCTCTCCCTCTCTCTCTCTCTCCCTCTGCCCCCTGGCCCCCGCTCTCTCTCTCTCTAAAATAAATAAATAATCTTTTAAAAATAAAATAAAATGTATTAATTGACATTCATTCTCATTTGGCACTGGGCCCCACAAATTATGTAGCCAGTCCTAGATAGAGCCACGTTATGGACAGCCTCGAAAGCCAAGGGGAGTTGTATTTGTGTAGAAGGCAGTGGAGCACCAGTATATGTTTTTAAATGTAAATTTTATGATAAAAACTATAATATAGTGATAAAAGCTTTGATTTTAGAGATAGATACACCTCTGTTCTAATTTTTTTTCTCTCTGTTTTAATAAGGTTTTGCCAATGGACAAATTTTTAAAATTCCCTAAGCTTTAGTTTTATCTGTAAATTAGGGATAATACCATTGCTAGGAGGATTAAGTGAGCACATAGTTACACCTTGATAAGTGTTAACTATTATTATTACATATTTAGAAAAATAGGACTGGCGATACAGTGCAAAATTAATTGTAACAGGGAAAACAAGATAAGGAGGCAAATTAAGAAAACAATTATGGTAATCTAAAGAATGTGCTAATAAAATTTTGGATTAAAATGGCATCAGTGGAATGGAGGAGAAAGGTGAAATCAGTGTGGAAGACTTGCAAAGAATTCAGTGTAGAAACTTGATGACATGGGATATAGGGAGCAAGTGAATGAGAAATCGAGACCTAAAGGTTCTTAATCTGGTGTGCAGGAAAAAATGTGATTATTAATGGGAAGGTTTATGTGAGGAATATAGGTTTAGTTTTGGAGAGATGAACTTGATTCAGTAGGTGCTTTTAAATTCAGCCCCTCAATGAAGTGTCTGGGTGGCACAGTCTGTTAAGCTTCTGACTTGGTTTGGCTCAGGTCATGATCTCAAGATCATGAGATCCAGTCCAGTGATGGGCTCCGCGTTCAGCAGGGGGTTTGCTTGAGACTCTTTCTTTCCCTTTGCCCCTCCCCTGCTCATTCGCACTCTCTCTTCCTAAAATAAATAAATCTTTGAAAAATTAATTAATTAATTCAGCACTTGACCATAAGTCCCAGGGTGCTAAAAACATATTTGAGCGTCATCTTTAGAGGAGGTTGTTATCTGTGGGAGTGCACAAATATTTTGAGGATCAGAGAAGTTTAAGTAGAGAAAGAAAGCCAAGGATATAGGCATACTTAATTATGAAAGAGGAGAAATGGATGGATTGTGTATCTAAATACTAAAGGAAATATAAATAGGGAAACAGTATATAATAAGGAAAACAATAAAATATAATATAAAAAGAAAACAATAAAACTTCTGGAAGAAAATGGAGTATCTCCATGACCTTCAGGTAGGCAAAGATTTCTTAAACAGGAAATAAAATCATGAGCCGTAAAGGAGATAGTAAATCTTTTCCCACATCAGACTTTTCCTGTAAGGTCTCTCTAACCATGACTGACGTAAAAAGGAACTATATAGTTGTACTTTCCAGAATAGAGACACAGGACAGGGAGGGAAGGAGCTGCAGCAGGAAGCTTTTCCTTTTGTTTTCCTTTCCCCCTCCTCCTCCCTTTCTATCTCATAGCTGCCTTACATCAGAGCTCCTCCTCATACTACTGCTCGTCTTCAGAGCCAGCTATGGTGGTGTTTGGCCTTGCTTGCTACACCAGGCCCTCTGAGTCTGAGCTTGGCAGGAAGGCTTCCTCTGACTCCTGCTCTGGGCAAACTCACCTTTGTACTTGCCCGGTGCACTAGCAGGATGGAGGACAGCCCACCCTACCCCTGCCCCTAGCAGTTAGGAGTTAGTCTTATGTTCATAGGGTTCTGCTGTTGGATTTGTTGTCCAGGTGGATTTGTTCTCCAGGTGGATTTTTCCTTCACTTACAGTGAATTGAGAGCTACCCTGCCCTTCGCTCTTTCCTGTTCAGTTTTGCATGTACTAATTTTGCAGAAGGTCTTGAAGGTGACCTCTGTTCCTAGCCTCCGGCGCTGATATAATTTTTCTTCTTTGTTTTGTGAGACAGTTCAATACAAATTTGGAACTGGATTGGAGGGTATAGGTAGTTAAACATATGAGCTTTGATTGTTACCTTATTCCGGGAGTCTCCATGTTGATATTTCACTGGCTATATTTTCTAATATTCTTGACTGAAAAAAATCTTGAAAGATAAAGTAGATAAAATCTTATGTAAAAAATTAGGTGAATTTTTATATTCCCTAAGACCATTATGAAGTTGGAGTCAGACTAGAAATTAGACACTATGTAGCTAATACACTGAAAAAATTGTGGTCTAAATTATTTACCTTTAACACAGGGAAATTATAATATTTGAATCCAAAAATCTCTGAGGAATAAACACCCTATGAGTAGCCCTTCACTAAGTCCCTACTGAATGTGGATTCCTCAGAGGAAGAGACTGAATTCTGCTTGTCAACACTACTTTGCCCCCCACACCAAAGGTGCCTAAGTTGTGCAAGAGATGCATTTGATAGGCAGTTACAGAAGGAGGGGGGAAGAAGTGACAAGCTACTTCTCATGTGAAGTGCTGAACTTGATTGCCATAATCTCCACAAACTCCATGAGGAAGTGTATGAACTGTTTACTATTTTGTTCCTTAATCCCATTTTTTAAAATTAAATATTTCCACAGAAGTCATAGATACGGCTCTTTTTAAATAAAGTTACTCCCTAAGACTGTAACTTTTTACTTTAAAGGAGTTTTGTTTGTATTGTAAGTTTCTATTCATCAACTTTAATGTTTAAAGGTTCTATTCAAGTGAACATGAATACAGTGGATTACATATAGTTCGACCTTCAACTGGGAAAATTGTGAATGAACTTTTCAAAGAGGCAAGAGAACATGGGGCTGTCCCTCTGAATGAAGCCACAAGAGCTTCCGGTGATAACAAATCTAAGGTAAGTGCTAAATTTAAAAGCTAAGTATACTACATATATATGTGTGTGTGTGTGTGTGCGTGTGTGTGTATATGTATATATTTGTTCTCCTCTATAGGTTTTTATATTATTTGCAAATATTGTTTTTCTAACTATATATTTCTATTTTAAGCATTCACTCTACTTTTATAAGATTACAATCTTTCTATTAATGATTGAAAGTTGCAGCAATTTCTTAACATCTCTATGAAACCTTTTCTGTTTACCTTTTTCTTAAAAAAATAATTATAGATTTATGTGAATTTGCAAAAAGAACACAGGTCCTATGTACCTTTCACCCAGTTTCCTCCAATGGTTATATCTAACATAATTATAGTACAGTATCAAAGCCAAGATTTGACATTGGTACTGTGTGTGTATATAGTTCTATGTCATTTTCTCACATGCGTAGATTTGTATAATTGTCAACTCAATCAAGATGCTGTTCTGTCATCACAAAGATCTCCTTCATGGTGTACCCCATTTTAGTCACACCCTCAGCCCTCTCCTCCACTATCTCTAGTCTCTTGCCACCCTAATCTGTTCTCCCTCTCTATGATTTTGTAATACTGAGAATGTTATACAAATGGAATCATATAGTATGTGACCTTTTGGGATTGGTTTTTTCACTCAACTTAATGCCCTAGCGGTCATCAGAGTTACTGAGTGTCTCAGTTCATTCTTTTTATTCCTGATAGCACTCTGTGGTATGGGTGTACCACAGCTGGTTTAACCATTCGCTTACTGAGGGACATTTGAGGTGTTTCCAGTTTGGAACTATTACAAATAAGGCTGCTGTGAGCAGTCGTGTACAGATTCTTGTATGGATATTAGTTTTCATTTCTCTGGGATAAATGCCCAAGAGTCCAGTTGTTGGGTCGTATGGTCAGTATATGTTAGTTTCTTAGAAACTGCCAAACTCTTTCCCATGGTGAATGACAGAACCAGTTTCTCCATTCTTGCCAGCATTTGGTATTGTCATTATTTTAAATTTTAGCTGTTGTGATAAGTGTGTTGTTATTAACTCATTGTGGTTTTAATTTGCATTTTCCTAATGGCCAATGATGTTAATTTGCATATTCCTAGTGGCTAGTGATATTGAACATCTTTTCATGTGTTTATTTGCCATTATCTTTCTTATCCCTTTCAGTAAAGTGACTTTGGCCTATTTTCAAATTGAATTGTTACTGTTGAGTTTTGGGAGTTCTTTATATATTATAATAGTTTTGAGTCCTTTATCAAATATATGGATTGCAAATATTATCTTCTAGATTGTAGCTTGTCTTTTCATCCTCTTACCAGGGTTTGTCCCAGAGCAAAAGTTTTTAATTTTGATAAAGTCCAGTTTATCTTTTTTTTTCCTTATGGATTATTCTTTTGGTCTCTTATGTAAGAACTCTTCATCTAAACGTAGGCCTCAAAGTTTTCTCCTGTTATCTAGAAAAGTTTTATAGTTTTACATTTTATACTTAAACTTGTGATCCATTTTGAGTTAATTTTACATATGGTTTCCATCAAGGTTTGTTTTCCTATTTATGGGTGTCCACTTGCTACACCACCATTTGTTGAATTGCTTTTGTGCCATTCATAAAATTTCTATACATCTTTTATACAGCTTTTATAACTATATCAGCTGACATCGTGGTGGTTTATTGAAGACATGAAAACATCAAGTGTCTTTTTGTGTGTAATTGTCATAATATTCTTAAAATTGGCATTTCTCAGCCCGAGTTCCCTTATTACAATCGTTTGGGAACGTTTTCTAAATTACCATATGGCCTCTGGTATTATGGTTCGGTAGGTTTCTGGTATGCCTAAGTATGTGTCTTTTGAAAAAGCCTGTCTGATAATTGTGACAGACCTCATTGCTGAGAATTGCTATTCTAATGAAACATAAATTTTAGTTTTCACTTTGTTAATTGACTAACAGCTTACAATTCTTTTTCAGTTAAATAGGTAATTTGCGTTCTTGCAGATTCTCCGATTCTGTAAGAAAAATGTGGAAGTGATATATTGATATATGTAGTTGATATGTTGAGTCTATAGAAAAGAAAGCAATGTGATCATTAAAAGCTCATTTATGATATGCATGGTGATTAAAAAAATGGCATTTTTACCTCATAAGCTATCCTACCTGAAAAATAGAAGACCTTGTGATCAGTATGGTAAAACAAAAAGTGCAGTCATAGTTGATTGTTACAGTTGAATAAAAGCAGCTTATAAAATAAATATGGAGCCTTTATTCAGGGTAATTTATACCCATTTATAAAATTCTTCCTTTACGCTGTGAAACTGTTATTTATGAAATACGTTTTATTTATTTATTTTTTAAAGATTTTATTTATTTATTTGAGAGAGAGAATGAGATAGAGCATGAAAGGGGGGCGGGTCAGAGGGAGAAGCAGACTCCCTGCTGAGCAGGGAGCCCGATGTGGGACTCGATCCCAGGACTCCAGGATCATGACCTGAGCCGAAGGCAGTCGCTTAACCAACTGAGCCACCCAGGTGCCCTGTGAAATACGTTTTAAACATAATTTTTATTGTAAGACATCATAAAATATTAGTGGTAGCTTTTTAAAATCTGTTTATACTTGAAAATATATATTTCATTATATAAATGTATTTTTTTAATTTAAGATTGGCCTAAATTATTTCAACTTCTGAGTCACTAACATTTTTATGGGAAGAAACAGAATTTCTTACTTGAGTATACTCCTCTGTAACATAAGACCTTCATTTTAATATAAAATTTTCCTGGAAAGTATAAACTAGTTTGGCTAATTATGGTTGATCTAATTTTCAGATATGTATCGCACATTATCATAACATTTTGCCCATAAGCCATAGTGAATTTTTAGCTCATTTGCTGTGTATTTCAGTCATTTACAGGTGGAGGATATAGACTGGGTAATTCCTTTTGTAAGCGGTCTGAATACATCTATGGAGAAAATCAACTGCAAGATGTAGGTACAGTAACCAAAATGAAAAGTTGCAGATATTTGCCTCTAGTTACTACTGTTTTTAAATTTAAAAATTGGTAATATAAATATAATATCTTTTCTGTTATTTTTTGAAACATGGATTTTAAAAGGACTAATGTATAAGCTTTTAGTCTCAAATTATATATTTTGTATCTCAATTGTGCCTTGCACTTAGAATGCACATATTTTCTGTATGTTGAAATAATATATGATTCACTGTCAAAATGAGATTTATGTACATACAGTAATAATTATTGTTAAGTAGTATACTGTCATAATAGAGAATTAGCTGAGTTGTAAACAGGGAAATTCCTAAAGTCATTCTTTGTTTTTGCGTTTTAAAATTTGGAGTTATACTTTCATTTAAACATGTTTACTTTAGCCTTGGAGGGTCACTGGAAATTCTGTCTTGCCCCTTGACATAATATTTAAGCCCTGTGTAGCAGACAAGAATATAGGTACAATTGAAGGAGTAAAGTGGATGTGGAGTCGCAGCTGGATGTTCTCATTGCTTTCATTTTCTCAATGAAGCAGAATAATTGTAATCAAGGCCAGGATCTAGCTTTGGCATTTCAGCCATTGTCGATTTGTTAAGCTACATACAAATCTGCTGAGCAAACATACTTGCTTTCATTTACATCTTTTTTTTTAACAGTAACTAAAGTAATATGAATAACTCCATATTTTCAGTAAAGTAGGTGTCTAAGTTTATGTTGTGAATATGTTGTGAAATATCACATTTGAAGCTTAAAATTATTTGATACAGATGGATTCTTGTATTTTATCTTTTTTCCTACATTAAAAAGGTTCAGATTTTGCTTAAACTATGGAGCAATGGTTTCAGTTTAGATGATGGAGAACTGAGACCTTATAATGACCCACCAAATGCTCAATTTCTGGAGTCTGTTAAAAGAGGGTAAGATATATTATTTGTGTTCTATTTGTTACTTAGGGTGGGACTTTTATTTTTTTAAGATACTGGAATATATTTTGTAAGTGGTTGCTGGGGGAAGGGTATTTTTAAGTATCTAAAGGATGTGTTGCTGTTCGTAAGTCTCTGGTTCTTAAGTTGATGGGGAGGGGCAATAGACACTGGTCACTTTGAAAATCTGATCAAGCGCTGCTCCCATTCCAAGAAGAAACATCGTCATGTAATAAATCAGTACAGTTGATTAGCCTGTAGCTGCCTGCCCGCTAAGCCAGTGTCCTGCTTACTGTTAACAGCATGACTCTCATTTCATGTAAGCCTGAAATTCAGCAACTTATATTAGAAATCTTTTAAAGTGGCATTACTGCTGGCAGAAGATTTCAGGTTAGTTTGAAGTTATGATTTGTGAAAGTCAACCAGATATACAGTGCCCTGACCGATGGAAAGAACATCGTAGCTCACCAGCCCTTCTTGCTAGAGGATGAAGAATCAAGTGATTTTGCTATGATTATAAAAGCTTTTCTGCATTATGCTTTCACTGGCTGACAATGTGATCATCCCTAAGTAGAAATACAACCAAACACAGAAGGTTGGTGATGAACTGGGAGATTTAAGTAGCAGTGAAGGGACTGGAGTAGCAGGTTATACTCCATTCAGGAATTGAAGGTGGGGCTTTTCCAAGTGATACAAATGTGTCCAAGGAGAATGGCTGAAGTGGAGTGGAGGTGAAACTCATTGGCATTGAGGGAGTCAAGGCCCTCTAAAGGAACGGTATTTTTAGAACACTAGCATGAAATCTGAATTTGAATTCTACAAAGATAATGTCAAGATACCAAAAAATGGCAAGAAATGCTGTAAGCAATATGCAGAAGTCATTTGATAAAGGTGGGAAGCTGTCCTAGGAGGCAGTATGTGGTGGTGGTAAATACAAGGAAATAATAGTTTAAGTCAGTGCTGTGGACTTGGAAACCTGCAGTCGCTGGGAAGATCTGGGAGCAACTGGATAAGGGAAGTGTTTGTTCATCTGCTAAGGGAAGATCAACATTGCTGTTGAAATTGATGCTTATTTCAAGATGTTGGAAGACAAGAGCATATTGATGATGGATGTACTATAATGTAGATAAAAACTCATTTATGCTTAAAAGAGAATAAATCATAAGCTTTGTGGGCTAACGTTCAAGCAATCTTGGTGTCCTAAAAGAGTTTTGTTTTTGTTTTTGTTTTTACTATATCCTGAAGTACAAATTATGATCAACAACAGTTTTAGAAAAGACTCCTTGAAGGAAAAAATGGGGGGGGGGCGGAATCGGAGGGGGAGAAGAACCATTAGAGACTGTGGACTCTGAGAAACAAACTGAAAGTTCTAGAGGGGAGGGGGGTGGGAGGATGGGTTGGCCTGGTGATGGGTATTAAAGAGGGCACGTACTGAATGGAGCACTGGGTGTTATATGCAAACAATGAATCATGGAACACTACATCAAAAACTAATGATGTAATATATGGTGATTAACATAACATAATAAAATTTTAAAAAAAGACTCCTTGAAAAAATGATTGATGTCAGATAGTGGTGGTCAACTATAGAATCACTGTCCTCTTTTTATGACAAATAGTGAGTAACACCATCTTCACTATCCTCAAAGAATTCATAGATATTATAAACTGCCCATGCATATTATTTCCCCCAAAAAGATACAAAATTTATCTTAAATATATTGAAATAAAATAATTTATCATGAAATTGTATGTATTTCAGTTTATAAATGCTTTGGTCTGACCACACCAGAACATAATAAAAGTAGTCCGATAGTTTGCAACTCTGTGCAGTCTAGCACTTCTCAAGAAAATGTGACAGACATAAAAATGGAATAATGACTTATGTGAGGTTGGCAATGTAATTACTGTCAGTGGTATTGCAGTCAGGGACTTTGATAAAGTTCCAAACAAAACAAAGTGCAGTCTTCTCTCAGTTTATATGGTATGCGTATTCCTGAAAATTTCAAAATGTATTAATGCATTGCCCCCCCACCAAAAAAAGGTTTTTTGCTTCTTTGTAAGACAGACCGTAAGCTTTAAATTTTAGGCTCAGACATTACAGACAGTGTTGTCATCCATGCACATCTCTGGCAGGGCATTCAATGTTTCTGTGGAACCCAAGACAAGACTTGATTAGGCAAGATGAATGGCCCATGGCAGAGCATCTCGTATCTGGATCCCGACTCTGAATGATAGCTGCACTCATGAATCATAAATTGATCAAAGACACTGATCAGTTTTCTAAAACTTCTTCCACAGAGTTTAGAAATAAATATCTGCATTAACTATTATGTCCTCATAGGAATTTTCTAGTGCTTATTTAGATATAAATTGCTGTTTTGCAATTTGGCTTTCTAAATGTTAGAAGCACTCCCAAGATCACTGTGACAACAGAAAGTTCTTATATTGAGAATCACTAGGAATAATAAGGTGATGCAACTTTATTTTTTTAATTTTAATTCCAGTATAGTTAACATACAGTGTTATATTCATTTCAGATATACAATACAGTGATTCAGTAATTCTGTACATCACCAAGTGCTCATCAGGACAGGTACACTTCTTAATCTCCCACCTATTTAACCCATTTCCCACACCACCCCTGAGATAACCATGAGTTTGTTCTCTGTAGTTAAGAGTCTGTTTCTTGGTTTCTCTCCTTTTTTTTTCCTTTGCTTATTTGTTTCGTTTCTTAAATTCCACATGAGTGAAATCATACAGTATTTGTCTTTCTCTGACTGACTGACTTATTTCGCTTAGTATTATACTCTGGCTCCATCTGTGTCATTGCAATTGGCAAGATTTCATTCCTTTTTATGGTTGAATAATATTCCTGTGTGTGTGTGTGTGTGTGTGTTTGTAGCACATCTTTATCCATCAGTCAGTGGTCACTTGGGCTGCTTCCATATTTTGGCTATTGTAAATAATGCTGCTATAAATATAGGGATGCGTGTATCCCTTTGCATTAGTGTTTGTGTATTCTTTGTGTAAATACCCAGTAGTGTAATTGCTGGATCATAAGGTAGTTCTATCTTTAACTTTTTGAGGAACCTCCATACTGTTTTCCAGAGTGGCTGCACCAGTTTGCATTCCCACCAGCAATGCAAGAGGGTTCTTTTTTCTCCACATCCTCATCAACATTTGTCTCTTGTGTTTTTGATTTTAGCCATTCTGACAGGTGTGACATGATATCTTAGATGACACAAAGAAATGGAAAGATATTCCATGCTCATAGATTGGAAGAACAAATACTGTTAAAATGTCTGTATTACCCAAAGCAATCTACAGATTTAATGCAATTCCTATCAAAATACCAACAGCATTTTTCACAGAACTACAACAAACAATCCTAAAATTTGTATGGAACCACAAAAGACCTGAAAGAGCCAAAACAATTTTGAAAAAGAAAAGCAAAGCTGGAGGTACCATAATGTGATATAACTTGAAGAAGAAAATATCTACAGGGACTAATCAATCATCATGGAAATTTTTATATTATAATCTAAGCAAAAGTTGCTGTTTTCCAGTATAGCTCACAACTTGATTATAGTAATGTCAACAGTGTAGATTAATTTTTTTTTAAGTTACTAAAACCTTTTTCCCTTTTTAAAAGAGAGATTCCCCTGGAGCTTCAGCGGCTGGTTCATGGTGGCCACGTGAATTTGGATATGGAGGACCATCAGGATCAAGAATACATAAAACCTAGATTGAGGTTCAAGGCTTTTAGTGGAGAAGGACAAAAGCTTGGAAGGTAAAATCCTAAAATGAGAAAAATACTTGTCTTTGTTCAGCGTGACTTTTCTTTGAGAATCAAAAAAGCAAAATAACCTAGAAAGTAAAAGCTAAAACATGAACCGTGAAGACCTTGCTGATGGAAGTAGATATGCAAATCTAGTGATAATATTAGTAGCTAATACTTAGACAGCAGTTACCACATTCCTGGCCCATCAGCACTTTAACATACATTAACTCACTTAATCTTCACAACTCTTGGATGTAGATCCTGTGATTACTTCATTTGCTAATGCAGTAGTGTGCCCAAGGTGATTGAGCTAGCGAGTGGTTACTTTGTGGGATTCAGACCCACCCACTGGCTGGAGTCTGCTTTTTACCATTGTGCCATCCTGCCTCTTTCTGATTACATGGGCTTGAAAGGGAAAATTGTAAAGGGTTCTTGATTAGATTGAACAATAGGCATCTTAGATCACAGCTATAAGCATGCTTGTCTATCATAAGTAATTGGTAAGCTGTTGCAGCAAAAGCAATGTGCTGAAGTTGGTTGTTTTCAGTATATGTTAAGCTGCCAAACTCTTTCTTCAAGTTAGGGAAACCCAGCACATAAAACACTTAACAAAACCAGAGTTTCTGTTGTAGGAGAAGGAAGGAATTGCCTTGGAGATGTTTCTAAAGATCCCCTGGGACTTTGCTGAATACAATTCAGAAACCAGTGTGTGTTGTATAATGTAGGATTGGACTCCTGTATAAAAGCCTTGGCTTAAAAGAATTTTCATAAATCTTGAAAAATTTGTTGGTAGAAGTTAACCCTGTATTTGTCCACATATTACTACAAGTGACATGTGAAATTGTAGCATTGACCATGTTTCCAGCATACCCGTTTGTGCATCCTTTGTTCCTTTTCCTGTGATTCCTTCCCTTCTAGCTTCTTTTCAATTGCCTTGTGCACTATGGTTCTCCATTCCCCTCGTGTTTCTCAGAATAGGGAAGAATTCATATCAGTTCTTTACACTTGTCTTTCATACCTCAAGTGTCCCTTTCTGTGTCCTTATCTCCTGATAGAAACTGCTTTCTGAGACATGTAGAGAATACAGAACACATGTCACCTTGGCTTTTCTTAGGATCCACATCCTTCAGTGCCCACTCACAGGTCTACTTGGAAATTTTCTTTCTCATCTCTCCTTACTACCAACACAAGTCAGGTTTGTCCTGATTGTTCTTTCTTCCTCTGTTTTGTTTTTGTAACTATGACCTCCAGATATATTTTTTAAAATATTTTCTAGCACTTCTCATTTCTTTTTTTTTTTAAGATTTTATTTATTTATTTGGGAGAGAGAGAGCACAAGCGGCAGGGAGGGGCAGAGAGAGAGGGAGAAGCAGGCTCCCCACTGAGCAGGGAGTCCAATGTGGGGCTCGATCCCATGACTCTGGGATCATGACCTGAGCCGAAAGCAGACACTTAACCAACTCAGCCACCCAGGTGCCCCTAGCACTTCTCATTTCTTGATGTTTATTGAGATTATGATTTTTAATTAGAACACAGGTAAAATGCCCTGCTGTCTCTCTGCTTTATATCTACTCTTTCTTTCTTAAGTTTATGACCAAGAATGAATGTTAGAATGCACATCTTGGTTAGCAGAACAGTAAATCTAGAACTGAAATTGAAGAAAGTAGTGTAAAGGGAAGATAGCTGAGAAGAGCCAGTGATTACAGTCGATATTTCAACTCATGAAAATAAGGATATTATCTCATTGTAGTATCTTACAAAGACTGGCCTTTCTCCTCATAAGGTAAATAGCCAGAGAAAATGACCCACATGAAAGGAGGAATGATGGAGGAGAATGACAAAAATAAGTGGTGAGAATGCTGGGTTGTTAATCCTTAGCCATATTGGTCAGGGTTTTTGATTGTAGGAAACAGAATTCACTTACTAGTTTAATAAGGGGCTTCTGACAGAGTCCTGGATAGTTTAGATATTTTCTGGAGCTAGCAAACCAAACTTTTCTAGAAGAAAAAAAAACAACAAAGAACTTTCTAGAAAACATTTTCTGTGCCCCCATCAGCTACTCAGTGCCCATGAAGCTAGGAATCAGACATTAGAACATTCCATCGTGACTGCTGTAGAAAAATCAAATGATTCTTGGTAACCAGAAGGGCTGCATACTTTTCACTTCACAGTGCTTACATTCACCAGACCAGTGTCATTTGTTACTTGGTAGAAGGGTGGAATTATATAAAATCCTGGCTGCAAGGGAGTCTGAGAAATGTAGTCTGTAGAATTTTTAGCTTCTACCATATAGGAAATTACACTAGGAGATTAATGTGGTGGTGTGAGCCTATCTGATGCACGTGAATTAGAATGTTGTGTAGTTGAATATATGTTCTAAGAAAGTGAAGAATTGCATAGAACATTTTAGAAAGGATTTACAGTAAGAAATCTGTTAAAATATAAAAGTTCTAACAGTTAACCTTTATGGATTCAGGAAGTAACTTTCTGAAATGGCTCATTTCCCAAGAGTTACAGGCAACTACTGAACAGAAAAATAATTAAAAAGAAGCAAACCGAACAGAAATGGAAATAATTCCATTGTCTTCCTTAGCTGACAGTCTTATTGCAAACAGAACATTACACGGATGGAAACTAACTTAATTTTTTACTGTGATATTACAAATGATTGTGGGGTAAACCTAAATGCAATAAAAATACTACCCAGTTCCTTCATGTACTATCATAGGAACAAGCAAATCATAGTTACAAAACTGCAAATGTACAGTGGCACACTAAACTGCATAAAAATTAGCTTAGTGAGCTGGAGTAGAGCCCAGTAGACCTAGAAAATTACAGAATCATTTTTGATAAGCAGGGCTAACAAGTGGACAGTCTCTGTAGGCTTTTGAGCTTGTGCGTATGATGGTACAGATCATGAGTTGAAGCAAATCTCTCCGCTTAAGAACAGTCACCGCCTGTTTTTCATACTGTACAGTCCAAAAGATTCTGTTCACCACTCACCCATTCTGGCCACTAAACCTGAGTTTTGACTTCATCTTGATCCCTGGACCTTTAAGGGCTCTCTTTTCTGAGAAGGGGAACAACCCTTTCCTTCCTGCCTTTTCTTCATTTTCTTATCCCAGCAATTCTGCAGCCTCTTGCCTTACTGTTCAGCTGTTGGATTTGTCTGTGGCCATGCAATTCAGTGTTCTTGGGGACGTTTGCACCCCTATGCTAGGCAGGCAAGCTGCACCTCTCCCGCTCTCGAAGGGCTGATCCCAAATGTTCCCTGCCCTCATCTCAGCAGATTATTTTTTTTTTTGCTTCCAGCTTCCCTGAGAAAATGGAGCCTGATAAGAATTAGCTTTCGTAACATATACCTCTTAGCCTCAAAGTTTATTAAATCCATCTTTACTGTTCTCTCTTAAGTTAGAAGATGTTTCTTTTCCTGACCAAGGGACTCACTCGTCTTACAACCAACCTACATCCTTTCCTTCAGTTTGCCTAGAAAGTTTGTTTTATCAATTTACTTCCCTCTTTTTTTTAATTTTCTATTTAATATAATACTTGAAACATACAGTATATTGAAACTGTCATTATATTTTGATCAGTTGAATGATGAGACATTTTTAAGTAGTAAGCAGGTATAACTTTGAAGGCTAAATAGTAAAGTTACTGTACTTTTTTAAATGTGATTTTATACCTTACTAACCAACTAGCTCAGCTACCTATCTCTGTGGCTCTGAGCATGTCTTTCAATCTCCCTGACTCCGTTGTTTTCCTATAAAATGATATTGTTGGCCTAAACTATCTTGAAAATCCATTCCTGTCTTCAGATGTTATTATTCCATATAATTTCATTTTGACATACACACATCTTATAAAAAAAACACATGAAAGAACCTTCCTTACCTAGTTTCCTTACCTGATACTTTCTTTTTATATTTTGAGAAGAATCTTATCTGGTCAGAATGTATTTTAAGCAGAAAGCATTAGACTATAGGAACAGGGGCCTGAGGCATCTCATCTAATAGAGGTAACTTTTCCCTCCCCAGTTGTTGTTAGGATAGGAACCTTAATGCCTTTTGGGAAGTGTCCACTATAAAAAAGCGCTGTTTGAAATGCTTCTGTGTCCTCATCAACTTCATCTTTACAGCTGTGCTGCTGTTGTCTGTTTTGCAAATGAGGAAACTCCGTGTTAAGTGACTTGCCCAGGGTCACACATCTAGTAAGTGGCAGAGTCAGGCCTCTGGATCCAGGCTGTTAACCATTAAGCCGCTATTCCCTCATTCACATCATGATTTAAATGAACTAACAAACGCAGTGGTGGCTGTGATGGTGATAGTGATGACAATAATAATGTGTACACCCAGTTATCAGTGAGGCAGAGGAAGGGAGAAGAGGTCCTTTGCATTCAGTGTCTCTTCCCTTTGGTTTTTGTACCTCTCACTGTGTAAGAGACACTGGATGGTTGGCACAGTGAACCAACTTGGTGGTACAACTGCTTAAGGCCTCAGTTCCAAACTCGAAAGTAAATTCCTTAAGAATACCTGATCAGTGATTGCAAATCATCATTTTCTTTTTCGTGTCTTTATCATATATATTCTGCAACTGATTCTAAAATATAGGTCAGGAAATAGCTAAAGAAAGGGGAAGTGTTAGCAGTAAGTACCAGTTAATTTTACTACCTTACTGTGTATTTTGAGAAACTTTGGGTGGGAATAAGAGTCAAGATGAGCAAAGGATGCTCCTAGAACTTTTATGCTAATAAATATATACTTACTTTTTTCAAAAGAAAATAATTCATAGGATGCCATCTGAATCTCAGTATTTGAGAAAATAAACATTAAGACTATTAAATAATCGCTTTAGATAACTTAGAGAAGATTAAGATTTGATATCTATAAAGAATTTGGCTAAGTTTGTTTTAATTTCTTAACCAAAAGGACACTTTTTTTTTGACACTGACTTTCAGCTTACAGTGATGGGACATTCTGCTGGCATTAGAAGTCACTAAGAAAGCAGTGCTAAGGTCATTAGTAATCAAGTTCCAATGGTAAGATGTCCTATTAAATAAGTTTCATTATAAATCAATCACCATAGGGACGTCTGGGTGGCTCAGTCAGTTAAGCGTCCAACTCCTGATTTCGGCTCAGGTCATGATCTCAGGGTCCTGGGTTCGAGCCTAGCGTCGGGCCCCGTGCTCAGTGTAGAGTCTGCTTGTCCGTCCCTTCTCCCCGCTTGTGCGCACTCTCTCTCTCTAAGATAAATAAATAAATCTATCACCATATATAAGATTTCATTTCTCACTAGCACATAGAAATTACTTCTCTTTTATGAAGCAGTAACTACTTAAATCAGATGTTTTTAAGTAATATTAGATAAGTTTAAGCTAATAGTTGAGTACTGATGATACATACAAAAATAGCTGGCACCTGTTGAAACACTGTTGTGACTTACTGATATAACAAGCCCACATAACATCATATTATCCCCCCCCTTTTTTACATGATAAAACTGGGATTCAGAGAGATTAATTTACTTCCTCAAGTTTATGCAGTTGACATAGCTGGGATTTGAAACCAAGTCTGTCTGTACTCATAGTCATTCTTTGACATTAACTCAGAGTTGCTCAGATTTCTGAGTGAAGACTTGTGCTAAACAGCTTCATGGAATTTCAAAGGGATAAAGGGGGAAAGAATACAAAATTAAGCTTTTGAAAGAGGTTGAATAAGCTAAACTAGAGTCATAGGACACAAAATAATTTTAATATAACGAAAGAGGTTAGGAGTATGGGAGACTCAAAAGAAGCCATGTTCTTGCTGGTCCCAAAGTCATAGGCAGGAACACTGGAGAATCAGCTATGGATATCAGTGGCTATTCCACTGTCTTCAGTTTGTCGCATCTTATGATGTATTCAGATTCGTGTTCTAATTCTTCAGTTCTTCTTTCTTAGCCTTACCCCTGAAATAGTCAGTACACCTTCATCCCCAGAAGAGGAGAATAAGTCAATACTTAATGCAGTTGTTCTTATTGATGATTCCGTGCCAACGACAAAAATTCAAATCAGATTAGCGGATGGGAGTCGTTTGATACAAAGATTCAATAGTACACACAGGTAAGCTCATTTGTGGTTTCACATGTGGTTACTTATCTTTATAAAACTATGTGAGTGAGTAATGAAGAATACGAAATTCTTTACATATACTTTTTAAGTAAGTTTTTGAGAGGAGAAAAATACTTTAAAAGGATAATAGCTGTGTGAAATACTTAGTATTTGAACATCCTCTGTAAACTGCTCAAATACTAATGCAAATTCAGATATCACTCAAAAATAAGATTGTTAAAAGTTACACTTTTGCACTGTTGCTAAAACCATGTGAAATGGGATCAAATTTGGTTTAATATGGTAAGTATAGTAAAACTTTATTTGGACTTTACTCATTTAAAAATTATGAAAATTCTGATTGGAATTAACTTTCTACTTTAGCAAATTCTTCACAATATAAATTTGTAATGTAGATAAAGTATAATTGTGCTATTGTCAAGTACTTTTTTTTTGTCAAATACTTTAAACTGTTTTAAATGTCAATTTAACATTCATTCATACATTTGTTGTACTAATAAGGTACCATTTTTATTTGTTCCTTAAGGGATATATTTATAATCTTAGTCGAATTGCTAGGCATATGTGAAAGTTTTTAAAAAAGGATAATTTTTCAAAATTATCCTTATGACTTAAACCTTTCATAGTTATAGACTCACCTTGACACAGGCCAATCTGGGGTACCTTTTTTTGGGTCATCTGCTATTAAGGTATTTTATACTCTGAAAAAAGTAGGATCTGCACTTTTAATATAATAACATTGTTGACATTTATTTTATGCAGAACTCACCTAAAGATTGTCTCTGTTTACAGAAAAAGTAAATATCAGCTACACTAGAGTTAATGCTCACATTTATCTATAATCCAATATAAATCCATCCATGAAATAAGGTAAATTTTTAAAAATTACAACACATTTAAATAAGGATTATAATTATGTGATTTATATTACTGTCATCTAATTTTAGCTAAAAGCTTACATGAAAATAAAACTTTTATATCACAAATTATTTTTATCTTACTTCTTCAGGATCCTGGATGTCCGGGACTTTATTATACAGTCCCGTCCTGAATTTGCGACTCTTGACTTTATTCTTGTGACTTCATTTCCAAATAAAGAGCTAACAGATGAAAGCCTGACACTTCAAGAAGCAGATATTCTTAACACTGTGATACTCCAGCAACTAAAATAATACTGCTCCTATCCATGCAATAGCATGTAGGAAAGATAATATGCCATAATAATAAGGAAAATACGTAGAGCATTAAGAAAACAAACTATTTTTATTATTTATACAGATAAATTTCGGTTTTATTCTTATTCCGTCTTCCAGCCTTAGTATAGATGAATTTGGACCAGGAATAGATTTTGAGATAAATATATTTGAGTTTTTAGTTGCAGGGCTGGTTTATGTTGATAGCTTGTAAATATTCAGGCAAACCAATTTGTTACATGCTCTGGGTTAATGTAACAACATTTGTTTGCAGAGGAAATGAACAGAACCCCATTTTGATAAATGCATTTGGTAAAATTTGCACTAAAGTTTCTTGATGGTGCATTGATCAACAGCTATCAGGAAATCCTCTGATCAAATTGGAATTTTTTCTGTGATATATACTGAAAAGTATCTGTATTCTAATTTTGAAATACGTTGATCATATAATTATTCCTCCTATTAAGATTGTATGTGTCCTTTTTACTTACTGATTTAGCTACATTACTAGTGTCAAAAAATATGGTTTGGCCTTATATTTTACAGAACTATGACCATCATAAACCAGAAACAAGGACAGAAAAGTCAGCAGTTCTTGAGAAGATCTGTTAAACAGCACTTTAAAATAGAGTAATTGCAATCCCTTCCAGAGCCTGCCTTGATCACATTCATTTATTTATTCAACACATTTTTCTAAGGGACCCACTATATATACTGAACACTGTTCTAAGTGTTCAACCCAGAATGTATTCTACTCCAGGGCAAAATGAGTGTATAAATTCAGAAATGTAAATTCTGTCAGCCAGACTGGATCTAAAGAATAACCAGCAAAAATATTTGCATTTCTGCCAAAGCCAGGTATTTCCTGAATGAGGTAGGCTATATCAGGAATGATAGGCTTTTTCTTCCTCCGAGATAACATTTCATCTTTGGTCACATGCCTGGTAGTCTTTCTGTAGCTGCTGTAACAAATTACTACAAACTTAGTGGCTTAAAATAGCAGAAATTTATTATTTTCTGATTCTGTAGGTTGGATGTCCAACATGGCTCTCACTCGCTAAGATAAAGCATTGACAAGGCTGTATTCCTTCTGAGAGGCCCTAAGGGGAGAATCATTTCCTTGTGTTTCCAGCTCCTAGGGGCCACCTGCATCCCTTGGCCTGTGGCCCCCTCTTCCCATATTCAAAGCCAGTAATATTACATCTCTGATTCTTCTCTGTCATCACATCTCTTTGACACCAGCCAGGAGAAGTTCTCTGCTTTTAACAACTCATGTGATTGGATTGGGCCCACCAGATAATTCAGGATTATCTCCCCATCATCAGGTCTATAGTAACCTTAGCTGCATCCTTCAAGTCCCTTTTACCATGCAAAGTGATACATCACAGATTCCCTCAGGAGGCTCCAGGAATGAGTCTGTTCTTTGCCTCTTCCAAGGCTGTTCGCATCCCTTCACTCTAGCTGCATCCCTCCAATCTCTGCTTCTGTCCTTACATCTTTTACTACCAACTTTATTTCTCCTGCCTTCTTCTTACAAGGACCCTTGTGGTTACATTTGGTTTACCTAGAATAATTACCAGAAAAATCTCATCTCAAAATGCTTAACTTAATCACGTTGGCAAAATCCTTTTCCTTTTGAGGTCACGAATTTACAGGTATGGTGATTAAAACATGAATATTTTGGAGGCCATTCTGACTACTCAGTCCACTCCTGCCCCCAAAGATTCACATCCATCCCACATAAAGTCACCCCATCCAAAGATGGTCAAAAGTGTCAACCCATTATAGCATCAAAGTGCAAAACCTTATCTGAATCTCACCAGCTATAAAGTCCCAAACCTCATTTAAATCATCTAAATCAAGTGTGAGTGTGGGTTTGGGTTCTATGATTCCTGGGACACAGTTCCTCTCCATCTATGTACCTGCAGACCTAGAAAACCAGTTATCTCCTCCCAAAGATAATGGTAGGACAGGCATAGAATAGGGTTGGTAGACATTCCTGTTCAAACAAACAAAACAGAATGCTAAAGGGAGCCACCCGTGCCAAGATTTAGAAAGCCATGCACACTCCATTAGATGTCAAATCGTGGGAACAATCTCTGGCCCGCAGCACTATCTCCTAGGCTTGTGATGTCCTCTCAGGGTCCTCTTTCCTGTTTCATGAAAGGTAGCACCTGTTTGCAGCTGAGTAGTTTTCTCAGCTTGTTGCTTACCTATGGAATTGTGGGAAGTCCAGCCATCTTTCATTTCATACCATCTCCGTCCTTTTCAATTTAAGGTAGCAATGGCTGCTGGTTTAACATTTCCAGAAACTTAGGGATCTTGTGTGCCTGTTAGGAGGATTCAGTTCTTTAGGAGGATTCTAGAGGCCCCTGCACAAAGCATTCCTAGGTAATCCCATCTCTATTTTGGGCTTTTTCTGAGAGGGCTGAGAGGATCTACGAGTCACACCCTTTATCTCTTCAAAGAACCTGTGGTGTGACAAACAACTCAGGCCTTCCTTAGATATTAGCAGAAGGTTGTGTAGCTGCACCCTCATCTCTCCCTAGAGCTGGCTTCCCTGACCGTGAATCCCTTACTTGGAATGTCCTTTGTCATTTGGGTAGGCTAAGAATTTCCAAGTCATCGAGTCCTGTTTTCTATATATTTAACAGTTCTTTCCTCAATTCGTCTATCTCCACTCACATTGTACTATAGCCAGCAAGAAGAAAGCAGGCCGCACCTGCACACTTGGCTTAGAAATCTCTTCAACCAAATATATTAAGTTTATCCCTTACAACTTCTGCTTTCCACATAACTGCAAACACGTTGCAGCTAAAAGCTTCTTGCCACTAACCAGAATGTCTTTGCCTTCACTTTCCAACGGCATGTTCCTCATTTCCTACCAAGCCCTCATTGGCAGCACCTTTAGTCTTCTTTTTTCTTCTAACAGTCTGTTTCTGACAATTTACATGATCTCCGTGGCAATTTAGGTGCTCTCTACCCTGCTCTTTCCTTCCTTCGGCCCTCACTAGCGTTAACATCCATAGATCTGCTAGCAGTGCTCAAGGCAGTCCTGCCTCTTTCTGCCATGCTCCTAAAAGTTCTTCCAACCTCTACCCACTGCCTCGTTGCAAAGCTATGCCCTCATTTTTAGGTGTTTGTTCCAGCAGCGCCCCATATCCAGGTATCTGGGAAAGTCTACTATGCCTTTTCACTGCCACTTGACTTGAATGTGCCAAGAGGAGATTTGGAATTCACCTTTCTCTGGGGGCGCTGCTTACTTCAGGGAGGTGAGTTGACCTGTGGTAGAGTTTTCCTACTAGCAGTGCTATCAGAACTCCCACAGGATGGAAGTGTAGATCTCACCATCGCAGAGAAGCTTGTTCTCAGTGTCACAGCACAGAGTGAGAAGAGTATTCCTAATAACAGGAAGCCATGCGCCTCTCCTCCAGTTGACAACTTGGAGAATATATAAAGAATAGCAGTTCAAAATGTTACCGAGGATAAACTACATTTTCATAGGAGCGAAGTCATCTTCCTTAGGAAATACTCTCTTGAAACAAATGACCATTTTAAATAAAAGGGCACTGCCCTATTTTGGGTTAACAAAATGGGGTGAGGGGATTAACCAAACCCTATAAAAGTATTTGAAATGTTATTCCTGTAGTTTCTTTTTATCGTTTAGATGGAGTGCCTGTAGATGCACATGCAAAAGCTACTGCCATTTTTGTATATGATAGTCTTCCAAAGTGTAGACATTTATATTAGGAGGGAGAATTAAACATTCAGAACAATACTTTCACATGTACTACATAGTGTTTTGCTTCGTTAGCGTCGTCTTCCTGAATTCTTATTACTATTGAAGTCACTGTAACTTATAAAATTTATAATCATCCCAAAAAGATTATGTTACAATGAGCAGGTAGACAACCATGTGTGAGGTCAATTGTTTTGCATGACCTATGTAATCAAAAAGTTTTAAGTGTCTGCTTTACCAATAAAGAACGTTTTCACTGAAAGTCATTGAAAATCCTGTTCAAAATTTCCTTGATTAGCAGTTTTATTTGAGTGACTTAATGGGTTATTTTAAAGCATGAATAACATTACCTGTGGTTTAATTTCTTATGGTTCATCTTTTTGATCGATGGAGAAGAACTGAATTGTAGCAATGTTATCTCAATTTCCCGTTACTGTTTCTGTTTTTATTCCACCAAAATAAAGGTGCAAATTTTTCTTAACTTTTTGCCACAGTGGATTTCTGAAAACCTTGTCACAACCTGTGTTGTTGGTAAAGTACATCATTATTTTCCTCTGAAAGAGTTTTTATCCCTGATCAGTGATACAAATTAATATATCATATATGTGTCCAACATTGTCATAAAAGCTAAGAAATACTTTCTGCCATCCTCTGTACAATTTTAAGTTAAAGTGTCTTTGAACACCAAGGCAATGATTTATAAAAGGAGCCCCGGCGCATATCTGTAACAGTGTATGTGTGTGTGTGCCTACATAGCACACAAAAATTTGTTAGTGTAGATAGCAACATAATCATATTTAAGACAGTGACTTCTTGCCTTAAGATTGGGAATAGAAGAGTGTTTAAAATGACTATGTGTCCTTTTATGCCTTCGTATTTGCTTTTTGGTTCGTATTTCCCTTATCTACATAGTGTACCTTTCAACGTACCTTTTAGAACATGGTTAATTATAAAGTGTCCCATGTCATTTCCTCATTTAACATCTTTCCCTCTTTGTTCTTCATTTTTGTCTTTGTGGGAAAGGCTTGTTTCTTCTAATGTTAACAGCTTTTATCATTTTTAATCGTAGGATTGGGAGCGGTAAAAGTATGACTTTTAGTTTTCTATCAGAATCTACATTAAAAAGTAGCGACTATAAATACTACAAATATTCAGAACATCAGTAGGCTTGAGAGTGAAAGCATGAATGTAGTTGAGTACAAGCAGAGGCCTTGTTCCCAGCAGGATGGAATTTTTAGACAGCTCTGAGCTTCTGAGAATAGAAGGAAGTAGGGTGGAGTAGCACCTTATAAAAAGAAATGTTTGGGGGCGCCTGGGTAGCTCAGTTGGTTAAGCGACTGCCTTCGGCTCAGGTCATGATCCTGGAGTCCCAGGATCGAGTCCCGCATCGGGCTCCCTGCTCGGCGGGGAGTCTGCTTCTCCCTGTGACCCTCCCCCCTCTCATGCTTTCTCTCTCTCACTCTCTTTCAAATAAATAAATAAAATCTTACAAAAAAAAAAAATGTTCGGGGTGCCTGGGCGACTCAGTTGGTTAAGTGTCAGCCTCCGCCTCAGGTCATGATCCTGGAGTCCCAGGATCGAGCCCTGCATCGGGCTCCCTGCTCAGTGGGGAGTCTGCTTCTCCCTTTGCCCCTTACCCCGCTTGTGTTCTCTCTCTCAAATAAATAAATAAAACCTTTAAAAAAAAAAAAAAAAGACGTGTTCATCCTCAGTACAATCAGTCAGATTTAACATTCCCTGAGGTCTGGGGGTTGTTTTTATTAATATAGTAAAATTATATGCCTATCAGTGGTTTATATATGCATATTATATATGATATGAAGGCTAGGTCTTTCTTTTCCCCTTGAAAACATAAATGTCCATGATGTAAGTAGATGTTACTGTTTGAAACATTGTATACATAGGTATTCTATGGCAACTCAAATGAATCTGACTTTATATTCTTTAATTAAGCATGTGTGTGATTCATTTGTCATAAGGTCTATGTATCCTAAATAATAACTACTTGGGTTGGCCATTTATTGAGGGCTTACCAAGAGCAGGATCCTATTTTGATAGGGAGCATGTTACTCATGGTCAGCATCCCTCTGTTAGTTTGTCACCCTGATCTCAGTGTAAGTGTGACTTCAGAGAGGACTTTTGTGAGGCCTCGATCTAAAATCATGCCCTTGTCTCTTAGCATTACCCTGTTTACTACAGCATTAGCAATGCCTGATATTTTCTTGTTAATTTGTTTGGCTTTTGTCAACATCTAACATGGAAACCGTCTTTCCTCTTCCCCCTATCAAATGATGAAAGTAAAACTGTTTAGTAACAGCTTGACGTCCTTTATCCAAGGAAGGCAATCCATGGATTGGGGGAGTCCAGTGCCTCCCAAGCACTGGAGCACTGACCCCGAGGGATGTGGGGCAAGAGTAAGCTTTATAGCTGCTGGAAGAGGCAATGTGGAAAAATACATGACTGGCTAGGAGGTGGGAGGGTTTCCTTGTAAGGCTAGCAGGGCCTACTTTCCAGGGTGAGGTGAGTGAGCCAAAGCTGAGTTGGAGGATTAATCGATTGGTGTGTGTTGTTTCCTTTACAGGCATTTCCCATAAGAGCAGGCTTAGGTTTCAATTGTGACGGGGCCATGCCACTGGGGCATCCTACATTTTGTGGATCCTAATACATGAGTTAACTTTAACACCCCAGGTCCTCAGAATGTGCATTTGTGAGAGCAGAGATTTTTCTTATCCCCTGTTGTATCCTTGGATAGTCAATAAATTGTTAATAAGTAATAAATAAGTGAATTAAGAATGGGACCCTCTGAATGTTGGAAGAATATATGCATTAATGCTTTAAAATTGAGAGATTCAGAAATGCTAACAGGGTTGATACTGGTGATAGAAAACATTTCTATACTTGTTTGGGTTTTAAATGAGGGAAAAGAAAAAGTGTTCTATAAGAGGCAGACTTGATTCATTTCCAGGAGTGGTAGCACCTATCCCTATAAGTGAATGGTCCTGGCAGTTCTCATGGTAGAATTGGGGTAAAGAGGGCTAAAGAATACCCTCCCGACTATGAGAAACACCCAAGATTGTCTGAATTCCAGTAGTAGGGGTTGTGATTCTACAAGTTTAAGGATAAGGAAGAACTTGGTTCTAAAGACAGGGTAGAGACCCGTCAACCCATTATGTTCTATTCAATTACTCAGAAAGGTATGCTGCTTACTTGTCATGTGATCTAATGTTTATAATATGATTTCCCTTATGGATTTTATCTTTCTATCAGAGGTAAAATACCACTAGCCTCATAGTAGCTATTATTTAATTCTATGATCTTCACATCGTTTAAACATTTTAGCCATTAATGTTCTATTTTAGAATGTGACACCTCATCATTATTTGTCACTTTAATACCGATACCTCAAAGATGGAAGTTGATTTAGATGAAATTTAATCAATCAATTGGGAGTGTGCTAAAATACATGTAAACTAGTTAATTGTAAAGTTGCAGAAAGTCAGATGATACTAGAGACTTTACTTACACATCCCTCGTGCCTTTGAAATGAAACTAGTTTGAGGAACTATTGACTTTGGCTTGACTCTCAATTTGGCTGAACTTGCAAAAAAATTCTCACTAGTCACTTCATATTGTGCTTGTTCTCTAAATTAACTCCCATTACCCAATCTTGCACGCAAGCAGAGAAAGCAGAAATGACCTGGAGTTACAAATTTCCAAATAACCTTTACAAACAGACAAATACATCAACAAACATGTATGAGTTTCAATGTTCTTGAAATTATTTTTCAGCGAGAAAATGATATTTAAAATTCTAATTTTGATATTCTTTAACAGCACCGTTTTATGTATATTAAAATACCTAGTACTTATTTAATTTGCATAGATTTTTTAACATATTGTAAATACAAATCTTAAGTATGTTTGACATTTTAAATGGCACTAGAGCTCATAGTTATAAGTGATCGAGGGTTCTCTGTGCAGCCCTTGAAATTCAAGTGACTTTTAACGTAGAATTGTATCCCTAGGCATCTTAATCATTTTGTCTTAGATGTAATAAAAATATCAGAGGCGAGATTTGATTCCAAGTCACACACATGACTCAGTGAATGTGTGGCATATATTCATTTGATCTAATCTCAGATGTGAAGGACCACTGGATGATTCACAAACTATTTTTTTTCTTTCTCTAAATTATTATTTTAAATAAGAGGATCTACCTTAATCTATTAGTGCAAAAATATTATGAAAAATGTTTGCATTTTTAGAAGTTGTAAATTTTATGACTTAAAGTTTTTCATTTCATACCTGCAAATAAGTCCCCTAGTTCCACTTCTGGATGGTTCTCCAATCAAGGCTAAGATTTTTACTCAAATAATTGCATTTAAGTGTATGCGAAAGCATGCTTGGTTTTTTCCTCACTATTCTTCCTGTTATAAACAATAGTCAGTGCATACTTGGACTCAGAGGATCTACCAAAACATCTAAAAAATCCTCATACTAAATGTTTATGGTAGTTGGGAATAGTGGTAGTGTTTGTGTGTTTTCCAGCCAACACACAGACTCTCTCTTCCATTCTTATTTCCCGTGCCATTCTCTTGTCAGGTTCTTTTCTTGTTTTTCTCCACATACTTTGAAATATTACTTCCCAAACTTTCTGATTTACTGGGGGCTTTCCTTCGAGCCAGAAATTCTCCATCCTCAAATGTGTAGGGAGAAGAGTCAAGTGTAGGGAAGCTGAGGTGGGACAAGCCTTCACGAGAACCATGGGAGACAAGCAGAATCAATGTTTTCCCCATCATCTTCATGGGGAAAGAAGTGAAATGACTCTGCTCACATTGTGAGCAGAGATGAAGTCAGTGAGTGTCTCCTTCCTCTTGATGTGCTTCCGTTTCCAATGTCCAGCAGTGTCGGCAATAAACATCGTCCTCATTTCTTACTATCATCTCCAATGTAGATACAGAGATGGCAGGACACCCATTTTATAGATGCTTGACAAAAGATTAAGTCATTTTCTAAAGGATATTTAGCAAATGTGGCAAATATTCAGCACTGCAAGTAATTTTCAGCATGTTAAGTTAATACTTTAAAACATATTCAGCAAATATGGTAACTCTTAACCACCAAAACCGTCCTCAGGTAAAATGTTAATCTTTGATGATTTGGTACTTTTGGTACTGTGTAACTTTTTGTGTGGAGTATTCAAATACAGTTCAAAGTTTTGTTATATTTTTCTTCAGTGTCTGCTGTCTCCCTAGCAATTTT